TTGTTATGAGTTGTGGCATTTCTTCGTTGCATCCAGTCCTTCCATAGATATAGAAAACTTTCCTGCAAGTTATTCTTGCTCGGTGGGTCCTTGTGAGCGCAAGCCGGCCGCATGACCGTGGACGTAAGGCCGTAAGCGGGCAAACAGCCACAATTCAAACAAGCGACGCGTATCGACAGGGAGATGGGCATCGATAATAATATCCCTCTTTCTCCTGTTCCACTCCCTGCCCTGCTCGAGATATGAGGCCTTCCTCTTTTTTCTACGTCTCTGGCCAGCATCGACACTCCGAAAGGTCGTCTAGGACTCTCCCGTATTTTTGCATGACAAATGGTCTGACCTGGCGACTTGTGCAACGTCTGTCGCCGGAGTCCTCCTGAACGCGCAATGAAGTCTCCTCCTCATACTCGAGCGAAATCCTATCTGGCAGAGTCGCCATCCTACGAAAGCCCTTATCGGACCCAGGGACGAATATCCGGAATTGTTGACCGGCACCGGATACGGGGTTGTGTATGTCAACCGTACCCCTATAAACATCGAGGAAGCCCCTACGAGCGGAAGCACGGCGTAACTTCCACAGCGGTTGAGCTAGCGGAGACAATTGAAGGGACCAAGGCAAGGCGATATTTTAATCACACAAACAATGAACAAAAGAAACTTATCAATCCTATCGCGATTTCCTCCTCCACCAGATCGTCGACGCACGAACCGTGTATACTACGTGCCTTCAACCAAGCCGTGGTTTTGGCCTCCGCTTGCCCCTTATTCGACCGAAACCCCTGTTATTTGGCCAATCAATATCACATTTTTATCGCCAAGGGAGTGTTACACACGTCATCTTATAAGGCCCTTTCCAATGGACGTCGACGCCACTCCCGGCTGCGCTACCTCATGTTCGTTTATACCAGCTCGAGACCGGAGCGACTAATAACCGAATCTTAGTGAACAGCTTATAGGAAGACAGAAATTGACATACCTCGCGACGGAGCATCTCATTGGCAGCTTTGCCCTCAAAGGCTGACGACAGCGCGTCGTTGTCTTCGATATCGCCGTCGTACGCGGAAGATGCATCGTCCACGTCCGACTCTTCCATCTCGGCGTCCTCTTCCTCGTCGGATGCCCGATGAGCCCGATCCGAGTAGTGATTTACCTCTCCAAGAACCTCGTTCTCCGTTTGGATACCACTGTCGACGATCTCCATGTCTTCCCCATGCTCGTCATCATCGCTGCTAGGGTACTCGATTTCTGTGTCGAGGATGTCGCTCGCCGTCTCCGAAACGCCTTCCGCGATTTCCATCTCCATCTCCATCTCCTCATCAGCAGAGGAGTCATGGTCGCAAATGATCTGGCGCAGGTCCTCTGCATTGGATTTCCGTGCCCACTTTGCGGGCAGCACGAGCGCGGACATGGCTATGAAGGACGTTGTTCGAGTGTCGACCTATCGATGTTCAAGGTGAAGCTGAAGGTGCGTCGCTGATCTTGGGCGATCGCTTAAGTGCGTGTCGGGCGATGCCGGTCTTTGTGGGCGTCGCCATCCGTTGTCCTCGCTTGGATAGTGTGATTAAGCGATCAAAGGTCTTTCATATTCACTAGAGTAATGGATAAGGGCTGACTTATGGTCTCCCATTAGGATATGTCACTACGGCGGTATGCAGTTTTCGTGTCGGTCTACTCGAATTAGGTCGAGCGCGTGATCGGTGCCGTACAGTCAGTCAGATTCATAGATGCGCATGACATCCATCCATGGACCCCATAATCGTCCCAGAATCAATATCCGGGACTGGACCGGCCTTGCTGCGAGAGAGCCTTTCCCCTGCTGTCATGGGCGAGGTGATTAAAGAGATCACGCAGTCGTGTTATTTCCAGAAGACAAGCAAAGGCAAACGAAATTTCTCGATTCCAAGTCTACCTCAAAACATTCCTTATCCGACTCTCTAACATGCATACCCAGCGGCGCACTCATAGCCCACATTCTCAAGTCCCCCGATCAGGCCAGATTTGCTGCCTGGCACCAATGAATATGCGGGTTCTCTCCAATGGATATCTGTCACGCACCTCGTCCGGTATCTCGTCGGTAAATGTGGATCCTAGTCATACACGACCATACTCCAGTCTGAGTCGGACGGCGAAGGTAGCGTACGGTCGGAGCCATCGTCGCTGTAAGTGATGTCGGATGACGATCTGGCACCTCCAGGCACCAAACGGACGCGCCTGCGGGAGGTACTACTAGGAGCACTCAATATTCCTTGTTCCTCGGAAGTGTCCCATTCCTCGGTTGGCCCCGGATGGCTGTCGTGTTGTCGGATGTTGGTTGTTTTTTTCACTCTTTTGGACGAGTGCACCTAATGACCAAACATCACTTAGCTTGAATCCAGCCTGCACAAAATAAAGCATGACTTACCTCCTCGTCGTATTCGTCGCTTTCCTCCCCTTCATCATCTTCCTCCACATAATCTGGATCAGTCCGTCTCCCGTCGTCCTCGTCGCTTTCATCCTCGTCGCTTTCATCCACCTCGTCATAGTCATCGGCCCCGCCCTCGGACATCCGCAAGTCATCGGCACACGCATCGCATGCACCGTTGGACACGTCGTGCTCGCTCAGGTCCATCTGAGCGCTGCCCTCATCGTCTGCAAGCTTGTCATTGCTCTCTGCCTCCTCGCCGGGATAATGGATGAAGGGTTTGCCACTTTCGCAGAAAGTTTGTCGGAGGTTTTCAGCGTTCGACTTTCTCCCCCACTTGGGGGGCAAGACGAGGGCTGCCATGGCGGAGAAGGAAGATACTCAAGAGTCGACGTGTGTGGCTATCGATGTGCAAGTTGAAGCCGGAAGACCGGTGGTCGAGCCACCTCGATCGCTTAGATGCTTATCGGGAGATGCCGGTCACTACGGGCACTCCCTTGTCCTCAATCTCCCGTCAAACATCCACGTAGGGACGTGAAAAGCCGTTTGTTGATTTGATCCATGCTGAATGAGGTATTCGAGCTGATTGGTGCTCGATTCAAATTAAATGAGCCATCGTTCAACCAGTCCACTGAAACGGCCCGTTCGATGTTCGCGCCTTGAGTTAGCACGCCATGCGCTTGAATATGTGCAATAAAACAGATTTAGTGACAAAAGTGTATGCATCGAATACCGACGTTGTTCATTCCAAGGCCATGCTCAAAAAGTTATCCAACTGGCCTGAGACGTGGTTGCATGCACCCTTATCGTGAATAGTAGCAGGCTCCCGCTCGCCGAATGACAAGGTATCGCGGTAATTGTTCAAGCCGCTGACTTCTGTGCTGGTCGAGATTCCCCAGTCGTTCATGCTCGTTGTATCGGCGACAATGTCGGCGCAAAGCAATCCGCCGAGCAATTGACAAGATCGTGTTCAAGATGATACATGATGTCTACACGCAATATATGCAAAGTCCCGCTTGTCAATCCAACATCGCTGTTCTTCGTCAATTGCTCTCGATTCCAGGGGTCAAAGCTTGCGACCTCGAGGATCCCGGCCAGGCCCTGTCCTCATACATGCTCATTCTCCCGAACTTACTTACTGTCGTCCATACAAAGTTCCTACCGTCCATTTTCGACCTCCTGGTACTCCGTTGTATCAACATTCCCAGGCAGGCATCGAGGTCTAAGCTGTGTGGGCCCTGATGCTGGCAATTGTAACCAGCCACTACCGCGAACATCATCTAAATTCGAACACCACTAGGGGATGTCCCTCGGACGAATGCTGAAGACCTCAATTCACTCCAGCCTACTCGTGGCAATCTCTTTGACATTGGAAGCCACTGCAAGCCCTTGAGATGTACCTCCCCTACGTCCTGTCCTCGTTGAGGGCGTTCCTGTGGGCAACATTGCAGTGTGAACATGTTTCGGATAGAAGATACAGGATGTCGTGAGTACTCTGGATAGATCGAGATGACATCCCATTCACTCTATAATCAGTCTTAAATGTAACTTTTGTTGCGTCTCGCCGCTACACAAGAGTCAAGAACCGAAGTGTCTTCAACTCAAACCGAGTCGTCTGCCAATTTATGCTACATTCGTTGCCCGGCCATCGATACACCACGAAGGGCACTGGAGACCCACATCCGAGCGCTCTCCATTCCCGCACGTGTACTTTACGACGAGCAATTGCTGACGATAACCAAAGGCTCAGATGCCCGTCCCGATTGCACTAACATTGGCAGCATGAATACGCGGTCTGTGAGCCTACGACCATAGGCCGCCGGATCTGCGCGACTTTCGTGGGCATATTCTATTGACGTAGGTGGCGTAGATATGCGGCCCGTGAACCTGAGACAGACCACCGCTGACTCTCCTCGACTCTCGTGATCGGATGGTTCCCCTCGCGCGGCATAGATTAATGGTGGTGTGTGATGCAGCTCATTACCTACCTGCGGCGCTGAGTTCAGGACCTTCCTCATTTTCACCGCATGCAACAATGCCCTGAGTGCCAGTCACGATCTCTTTCAGTCTCGCCTGGATACCATACAATTTCTACATCGTCGTGGTTGGTTTATTGTTCTCTGATCTCAGTCATCTATTAACCAATGCGTAGGTGAGTCTCCTGTGGTTATCATGATGTCTTCCTATGAGACCACCCACCTCATCCGAGTCATCTGAGTCAGACACAGACTCAGAGTTGCTATCAGCCCCAAAGGTGTCGAGATCTTCGTCGTCCCACTCCCACTCCCATTCAACAGGATCGTAGGGCTCGTCGTCTGTGTTGGCAATAGCCAACGCGCGAAGAATCCCTCTGAGGTTTCTCTTCTCTTGGGTGTCATGTTACACTTGCGTTCGTTGACGGCCATTCGAAGAATGAAGTGGAAGTGACTGCAATATCCGCCTTCGTGGTCAGAGTAAAGTTGAGGCCGTTCTGTGCCACCCTTCTTATTTCCGGCTGTCGCCGATGGCCTTTGTGCCACTTACGGATTTAGGTCGGTGGCGCGATATGCCCAAAGGGCGTTCATCAACTATGCATCCGACTCATATATATGATTGGCGGCTCTCTTCAGAATACATTAGTAACTTCATTGAACCTAACCCCGGCCGTGCACCGTCCACTCAGGTCTCACCATCTATACACCACTCCTAGGCAATGACGATAGGGAATACACCTTGGTACACGCCGTTGTGTCAGGCAACGTAGAATCACGGGAACACTTGCCCTAGTTACTGTTGGACTGAATACACGGTGAATCTGCGGTGAGATGCCGCTGGCACTGCACGGTTCGAATCCACGGTGTTCCGTCCGACTAAAACGAGTCCCTGACAAATGGTACAAAACTCTTTCAAGCACCCCTAATTGTTGCTAACTAAGTCTCTGCAGTGGAAGAGCTCACCTCCTGGTCTTAAACGGATTCGAGACTACACATCAAGCCCAGTTCCTGTAACATCAAGATATCAAGGTAATCTTCATTTCGACAGAGGTGGAAGCTGATGTTGGTCATCCCGAAGCAATAGCTATGCTACGTCCAGCGGAGCTACGCCTCCAGTGGACTGTAGCAGGGATATAGCTTCGTGCAAACATGCATTTATCACTAACTGAATCTTCGGGCCATACTCATCTCAGCAATCTTTCTGACTTCGTCCATGGTTAATCCGAGGCCGTACGGCGGCTTAGCGAGAAGGAGTGCATACTCGGCTAACAGATTTGTGCGGAACACAAGCTGATCATCGGTCTATGAGAGGCAGTAGCAAAGGTGATCAGTAGTAATTCAGCATAATACCGGCATGCAGACCGTACGTACACATATAGCTATAGGATGATCTTGTTTCAGGTAAAAGCGAATGTGGTGATCCTCGAGACTCTTCACGGTTTTGCATCTAAGAAGGGAGAAGGACACAAGAGTGTCATCCGTGTTAGCCTGTCGGAAAATAAAGGCTTACAGAAGGTTGCTTGTGAGGCAAAGCTCAACGGCTATATCTTTCTCGAACACTATCTTCATGGCCTCTTCGTCGAGAAACGTTGCGTGGCCTAGCCTCGACGGTGCAAACGCGCGAAGCAGATTATCGGTCTCGGAAGTGGGATTGTCAACTGTCTGTAGAAAAATGCTGATCAGTCTTCCCACCGGTCACCTCCCTCCCGATTATTTCTCACTTCGGCGATATGGACAGTTACACCCAGTCCCGACGCCTTGGCATTTTGGAAGTGTTTGACGAACCGCTGGAGTTCCCCGGCCTGAAACAGTGGTAGCTGAGAACAAGGTAACCTTTAAGTGACAACATACCCGCGGATCACCACAGAGGTCAATACCGACGACCCTCCGCCCTTCTTCCTTCAGTGTGATGG